TAAGAACTAATAGTAGCGAAGGGAACATGAAATGAAAGATACACACACTAATATAGTTTAACCAGAATGTAAACAGATGTTTTCATTAGTAAGTCTCAAATAACCTTTTCAAGAGTGGCAAWAACGGCAACTGRAGAGAAGCAGAACCAAAATGYATTCTCGTTTGTGTGCCAGTGTTGACTAAATCTACACTGATGTGMAGAGAGTGACATATATCCCTCGCTGAGCACATCTGGCATTTGTCACAGCAAACGCATCCAATCAGCCGGAGCGCAGCCAGCGGCCCGAGCGTCCCGGCAGGAAGATTAAACTAAGCCACTGCTCTGGCCTTGGCATTTCAAAATCTTCACAGACATGAAAGCGTTAGTTAYGATCTACGCAAATGTTTGTGAGAGAACGGAAATGTCCAGCTTTGGGACTTGTTGATAGATGAGCRTCCTCAGCAGAAGAGACGGTTGCTTTGTTGCTTTCTAATGGAGATATGATGAAATCCATTGAACACACAAATAGAATGAATCATGGATATTTTATTTACCAGAGACTGGAGGATAATATTCACCCCTACATATTACAAAGGTAGTACAGCTACTGATTCATTTTTTCAAGTCAGGGCTAATAAACCTGAGTGAATTGATACAGGAAATGTGGTGAGTTAGTAGCCGCCCCTTTCTGAAAAATAGACAAAAAAACCCTCTTATTGCCCCCACTGTCCTTCTGACATCATCACTTATTTTAAAAGGRTTATAAAATSGAAACTATGGTTACGCATCACCCCCCACATTGATCCATCAAACCACTGAAAATGAAGGCAGCTTCCTCCATTGATATATCACTGGATTGGATGTTTCCTATTGCCGCCTATTGTCTGCTTTTTGGCATAGAGCGTTGCCATTACTGTGTGTTGATTGAGGACACAAATGTCATGTTTATACTGTRGATTACAGCATTGCTTCTTCATTTTGTGCTTTTACAATCCATTTCAACAAGGTTTCCAATTTCATGACAATGTGTAATGTTCAGTTATACACAATGGTGGTATTCAACTGTCTATAAACGTTTTACTGGCCAGCATTAATATAAATATACCATTAAAGTAGCAATGTCTAGTGATAGTGTGACCCATATCGGCTGTAGAAGCTTAGGGCTAAAGCAAAACAAGAGTTTGGATTTACCACGGTACATGTTGGCAACATAGCAGAAAAAAAGGACTGATGATGTAGAAATCATAAAAACTTAATAATATTAACATTAACAAAATTAATATAATATATATAATTTGACAGTTTATATAATCTAATGTTTTAAATAAAGCAAGAAAAGCTATGTGTGTTATGGATTTACCAACAGAAGATAAAGAGTAAAACATCTAATTTCAATTCAGTTTATTAATATAGCGCTAAGTCACAACAACTGTTGTTTCATTTCACAACACAAGTAAGCAGATTTTATCTTTAGCTCAGTGTGATCTGAGCAGAACTGAAGCTAATAATGTAACAGTTTAAAATTAAAATAATCTTATAAAGTCAATGTAATCACTTTTATTTATTGAACTGGTTAGCAGATATTAGCTTGTAAAGCATACAGTGTGTATTACTCTGCTGAATNTATATATAATTTGACAGTTTATATAATCTAATGTTTTAAATAAAGCGAGAAAAGCTTTGTGTGTTATGGATTTACCAACAGAAGATAAAGAGTAAAACACCTCATTTCAATTCAATTCAATTCAATTCAATTCAGTTTATTAATATAGTGCCAAGTCACAACAACTGTTGTTTCATTTCACAACACAAGTAAGCAGATTTGATCTTTCGCTCAGTGTGATCTGAGCAGAACTGAAGCTAATAATATAACAGTTTAAAATTAAAATAATCTTATAAAGTCGATGTAATCACTGTTACTTATTGAACTGGTTAGCAGATATTAGCTTGTAAAGCATTTATACAGTGTGTAGCACTCTGCTGAATCATGCTACAATTTAACACAAACTATTAAATGTTATAGCTGATTTGTCCTCTGATTGATATGTAGACCTATAGTATAAAATAATATTATAAATGTAAGTGTTTTTAGGTTTCTGCTAGAGGAAGCTAACCTGAGAAGATGGTTAGCTAATAGAGACAAGTTTCATCCCATAACAGGTATACAGAGAACATTTTCTAAGTGTTGACTGGTAAATATTTATTATTATTCAGTGTTTCCCCCTACCATTATACAGGCATTAACATCCTTTGTATTTAACAAGTCTACACCTGTATTTATGTCTGCAGAACACTTCGCTAATCACTAATCCGTTAAACAAGAATATTAGCTATGCTAAAGCTAAACAGCTAAAATCTTAGTGGAGATAAGTGTTAACCACGTTAACAACAGTTTTCATCTCCTTCCAGTTGTTGATGGTGGGACCGACACAAACCAATTGTTAGTTTTCTATTGGTTTCATTTGAAAGTGGTGGGATCATCTGTAGCAAATCGGTCAATCCAAACCAGATTATAGCTCTAACTTGTGATACTTAGTTTACCCCTTTCAGAATAAAATCATTTATTTGATCGTATTTGTATTTAATACATTCTCTTTCATAACTAGTCAATTTATGTATTCACAACTTAAATATTGTGAAATGTTATTTTATTTATAATTGATGCTAGATTTTGTAATTATTTGAATCAGGTGTATTGAAGCAGGGAAACATCTAAAGCATGCAGAACAGTGGGTCACGAGGAACAGGGTTAAAGACTCCTGGTCTAGATTTATGTGTTGTCTATTTCAGTAGCGCACTTTATTATAGGCCTATGTTATAACTAGTAAAATATCTGTTCCCAAAGTAGAATCCATATTCAAATGTAAAAGCTTGGAGGGTAAACCTCGTTGGTAGCACACAGGCAGTAGGCTGGGGTTTGACTGGAGCTGAACGGAAACTAAATTTAGTTTGCAAATGAGCAGGAAGGTGGTGTGACCTGCTGCTGCTCCTTTCCACGCACGTGGTCACCTCCAGTCTCAGACTGGCCTCCTTTACATGCACAGCTGGCAAGTGGAAATATGGAAATGTTGACCATGACTCAAAAAGCCCAACTTAAACACAGGAAGAGCTTCAATTCTGATCATTTTTACCAACACAAAAGGCTAAAAACACACAAAAAATGGCTTCAACACAGTCAGTTTTACAGATGTTTAAGAGGCAGGAAAGTCCGCAGGCGATGTGAATGTTAGTAGTTGTTAATGAGGATGTTAAACACACAAAAAAAGAGGAAAGAAGGCTTTAGGAAACTGCAGGTGTTTGGCTTTAACAGGTTAACAATAACACGCTGTAACCGGACGCTCCTGCTGCCTGACACAAACAAGAAGCCTTTTCCCCACCAGTCTCCTGTTTCTGGTCCTGATTCCTGCTGGGTGAAAGTGGAAACCCTGCACCATCACTGAGGAGGTGCAGCAGGATCGTGTGACTGCAGGTGATGCAACAGAAACAAGACAGACGACTACAGAGAACGTCTGCAACAGCTTCAAACTGTTTCAGCACATCTGTGTTAAATCTGAACTATTTGGGCAAACGCTGACTCAGCAGTCGCTAGTGTTGTTTTTTCCGCAATCTAATGACTTCTGCATACTTAGTGCCATTTTTAGCCATTCATCCATCAAAAAGTGAAAGCTAAAATTTCTGTTCTGTTTTTTTACACCTTTCAAAATGTTTACGCTTACGTAGAAAAATTCTCCTCAAAGAAACACTAAAATCTTCTTCAGCACATATTCAGCTCTATTTTTCTCTTCTTAATAGGTTTTGTTCTGCTACTATTAGCATTTATGTTGTATTTTTTTACTTTTAATAAGAATTTTGATGCTTTTAACTTTTAGCTATTCATTTGCTAATATTAGCTTTTAGCAAGTCTTTTGTTACTTTTGGCATTTAGGTAGCATTGTTTTTTTCCAGCTAGCATTTTCTACTTTTATTATTAATTTTCTACTTTTTCTATTTTAGCTATCCTTTTACAACTATTAACTTTCTGCTATGTTTAGCTAGCATTTTCCTGCTTTAGGCTTTTGACTAGCCTTCTGCTGCTTTTAGATTTTAACTACTATTTTGCTGCTTTTAGCTATTAATTTACAACTTTTAGCTAGCCTTCTGTTACTTTTAGCTATTCATTTACAACTTTAGCTGGCCTTTTGCTATTTTTGGTTATATCTTTTTCTGCTTTAGATAACCATATGCTGCTATTAGATACATTTTTGCTGCTTTTATTTGTTTGTTTTCCTTAGCTTAGTTTTTTTTCTGATCTCAGCTAACCTTTTTCTACTATTAGCTTTTCACTGGTCTTTGTTTACTTTTAGCTAGACGTTTGGTTCTTTTTTTTAGGTTCTTTCGTTACTTTCAGCTTCTGGCTAGCATTTAGCTGTTTTACCTAGCCTATTGCTACTAAGCTTTTAGTTAGATTGTTTAGGGTTGTATCTAGCATTAAGCTTTTTTCTTTTGTTTTTCCTACTGTTCTGCTACTTTTAGCTTTCCGAATAGTTCTGTGCTTCATTTAGTATTTTAGCTACTGTTCTGACATTTTTTTAGCTTTTAAGCTAGTCTTCTGCTTCTGTCAGCCCTAATTCAGTTTGCTGTATTTTTGCAGGATGTGCAGTTTGCTGAGTTAAATGAATGTTCTTCCTTATTACGATGATGAAAACACACTGAAGTCCAGAGGAAACAAACCCCCTCACCAGCACACACCACCATGCACCAGCTGCGTTACAGCAGGTCACTGGGAATTTGGGTCGTTTCTCTCATGTTTCCCACAGGAACATGAGAGGAGACAGTCTGGGACGGAAGTGAGGAGAATAGACATGCTGCAGCACATCCACCTCTCGGTCCCGCTAATCCTGATTTATTACGTAAGAAACGCATTGCTGGACTGCAGCGTCACGTCTGTCTGTCACCCCGTCACACAGACACACAATACGTCCAGTCAACAGCAGGGGCGAAGGGATAGAGCTGCTGGACATTTGTTCAGGTGACACTCACCTCTTTAGCTGAGGAAGTCTCTCGGCTGACTCACAGAAGGTGGACGCCACTTGTAAATATTAACGCAGTCCTCAGGTCGTCTGTCTGCTAATGTTAGCAGACGACGATGATGTTTATTATTATCGTCTGATAGCCGTGGTGGATTCCTCGTACCTTCCTCCGTCCAGCGACGCTACGTCAGATAAATATTTAGCAGTGAGAGAGATTCAGTTTGTTCAAACAAGTGGTGGGTTGTTCCCTGCTGTCGACAAAAGCAGAAATTCCCAGTCTATTCGTTAGCCACCAGTGCGCCTGCACCATTCTGCCAAGGAGGGCTATGGGAACTAATAAAAACAACAGAAACGTACGTGGCGTTTCCGGTTTGAATTTTCGAAATAAAAGCGACGCAAACGTCACCGCTAGAAATGATTGTACACTGACGAATTTTCTACTGTGATGTAAAGTTAACTGTTCTCACATTTTAGGTTTTGTTCATCCAAAGTCATGATTCTAATGCTAAAACGTGATGTAGCAGTTGCTGAAATTGATCACAACACATTCTGAACAATAACACAATTGCTGTTTGGCGTCAGCTCTGTTTGTTGGCAAAATATCTCATGAACCACTGAGATTTTACAGACATAAAAATAATCATCTACATTTGATTACACTTAGGGGTCAACACAATGCAGGATGGCTGCCACAGCCGACTATAATTGGAAAATGTCAAGTTAGATAGTTTAGACACTTATTATTATTATATTGTGCCTAAATTAAGTGTGTTTTGGCTGCGAGCCAGTCATAACACAAATCCAAAATACTTCATTGCTTGGTATATTTTGTGCACAACTTTGGCATCGGCCTTGTCTAAGCTGTTAGCAAAATATCTCATGGACCACTGCACACATTTGAATGAAACTCTTGGAACATGATCAGTAAATAACTAGCTAACTTATTAATTTTAGGAGTCCATCCATGTGATGATGGCTGCCACAGCTAATCAACATTAGCCAACAAATAAATAGTTATAACTCTGCATGCCTGGACTTTCATTTTACAAAATAAGGTTAGTTTTTAGTATTTTATTTTGAAGTTTCAGCCCTACGCACTTCCTAAACGGTCTATGACTAAAGAAACTTGACAAAACCTTTTTTCATTCGTTGCTGCTGGGCAGGACGTGAACCACGTGATCTGTGCCTTACGTGCCCTCCCATTAGTCTTCAAATCTTTCAAAAATTCATGAACCTCACATCAGACTTACATTTGATGAGATCATATATTTCATCTCCAGAAGATGATTGTTATACAAATATTTCTGGTAAAAATGGAACAAAAAAATAAGTAAAATCCTGCGTGTTTTTGAGGGGATCTGATGTGAAATATACAGTAGCTGAGGTAATCACTAGTATTTCTTTATTTTTATTTTTTTTTTTTGCACAAAATTTTAATTGTGGTTTTAGGGGAAAGTTTTAACAAAACGTGGTGAGTGGCGCCCTCTGGTGGCTGACTGATGTTTTGTCCAGAGGCGAGAAGGTCTGTCAACTTTTACTCTGTTAACAAAATATCTCACAAACTACTTTAAACATTTTGACTAAATTTGCAGAAAGTAATCGCTGAATATGCCTTTAGAACGGATTGCATTTTGGGTGAAACAACTTCAAGATGGCCGCCACTCCTAACTAATCTTAAAAAAACATAAAAATCAGTGAATTTAAGCAAATTTGGTGGGGTTGTCATGCACGTCCTATAGTGCCACACAATCGCAAGAGATCTTTCCTTAAAAGTTTAGTTTTAGCTATTTGGAGTCAGTCAAGTTTGTCTGTTAGCAAAATATCTTTTGAACCACAAGATAAATTTTAATAAAACTCTCAGAAACTAATCACTGGATGTGCATCTATAACTGATTAACGTTTGGAACCAAATTGATTCAAGATGGCTGCTGCAGCTTATCAATTTTAGCCAACGCAAAAATGACTTGGATGCAGTCAAGTGGGCAGATATTGAGGTAAAATTTGGTGTGGTAATAGCTGAGAGTCATTAACTATATAATCTGAGCATGACGTCTCAGAATATTGCATGAGATTGTGCAGAACATTTGACTAAAACTGTTAGTCCTCCTGTTCATATGATTTAATTGGATATTTTAAAATGACTGTCAGTATCCTCTCTCAAGGACCTCTTTATTACTAATATATTCCAGCCATATCAACAGCTGCAGTCTAAATTTAATATATAATTATAAATAAAATAAAATTGGATTAGGTTAAAGTTTAGTTTAAAACAAAGGCAAGAAGCAAAAACTCTTACATGTGCCTTTGTTTTAAACTAAACTTTAAACTTTAGGCAACACTGATGGGTTCTGCTCCTTCCTGTTTCTTGACCAATAGGAGAGGAGCTGACCCAAGAAAGACCGCCCAATTTATTTGCATAATTAGGCAGAAAAGCCCAAGGTAAAGTACAAACAAGAGACAGAAAAATAACATGAAAATAAAATATAAAAACATTTAAGAAACACAATAATCTACAAGTAAAAGAACTGTTTTTAACAGTAAAATTTTAATTATCTGCTAAAATGTGTAGATTGGTGGAACTAAGTTGGAAAATAAATATGATGGTGAATTAAATTATAAAACATGAGGTAAAGTCATCATTTTTTAAAACTGATTGGTGTATTTTAAGTGTTTTTATTCATTTATTTGTCCATTTATATATTTCTGATTTAATTCGTATTTATGTCACTTTCAGTCCTCCATACAACATAGCCTCTTTACTTCACTAAGTTCTGTCTTTTTAATTTTATTGCTTTGAAATATTTAACTGCATTCTTAAGCTTGTCCTTTAGATTCTGATCCTACATCAACACCTACTCATCAAACTCAAGAAAGAGGCCGACAACCCAAAAGAGGTCATTTCTGTTAGCACCATAGACATCCATAAACGCCCTTTTGGAAGCCTAACGGCATAACCATGTCGCCGCCATATATATATA